TCAATAAATTCTCGGCCTTTTTGGAGGGGCAAACTCCGACGATGCGTGTTTTATCCCAGTGATCTCCTGTGGCCTTTATCTCAGCGATCCAAAATAATGTCCGACTTGATCAGAATATGAAGAATTAGAATGATAACCAGGCACGTAGTTGCGATGGTAAGACCCTTGAAAGTGAGCTGTGAATAGAATGTGGGTTTCCCTATTTGTCAGAAGTTTGCATTAGCGTTAGCAACGAGCCTCTGGTAAATAGTAGAGTGTTTTACTGAAGGACAAAAGGTCCCGAGTCAGAATGTCGGTGCTCGCCACCCCTGGCATTGCATGTGACTGGCTGATGACGGTTAACAAGCCAGAAATAGCAAATGAACAGTATGGATAATTAATTTTAGCCAATCAGTTGCCGGCGTAAGTAATCGGGCTTGCGTCCTCAAGGCTCGATAAAAAGACAGGAAATTAATACGTCGCTTTGGTGACTGTTCATTAGAGCTTCCAGCCGCGGGCGTCCATGCCTGTTGCAAAGCCAGCTTCATGACTCGTGTTCAGTAAGTCGGTGGTCCTTTTAAATAATTTCCCATCGCTCTGCATGGGTAACTTGAATTCGCGCAGTCAGGATTGCAGCTCATGTCTACGGCGACAAGTATGATGAAATGACTGCATTCTGGTTGATCTTTGACACTCATAACTGTGTATGCTTTCTGGGATTAACGAGAGACACCAGTACCCAAAACTGCAATACTACAATCGTCCCCTGTAATGTTTCTGATACGTGGTAGATAATGATACAAATCGGATGGACCTTTAGTCCCATCATCGGATAGCCATTTCGCTCGTGATGAGCTTTGATGTCGTGGTTGAACAACACAACGAAATTAAGCAATGCGACTGTTTGTCTATAGGTCTTCTCGGATTGATGTTAATTAATTTGTGGCCAAAATTTATCCAGAACCCGTCAGTCGGTATCAATCTGGCACGAACCGGTCACAATTGTGGCAGGTACATTACAACAAAACGTCTGCTCACATATCCAGACAGGCACATATGCCAGCAAGGAAGCGATAGCAGGCGGAGAGGTAGTAAACTGTGTCACTAAGGATAACGTGGTTTGACTGAGAAACTACTTTCATCATACAGTTGTGAAAAATGCGACAGCCTCGCTGGGATTCGAACCCACACAAGTAAGGATAAAGCTCTAGTACAGCCAACGCTCTAGCCAACTAAGCTATGGAATCAATGATGCAGCAGTTATCGGCCGTTGATATAAACGGCAGAGTTTTCTCATTCTATCCACTCAATCTCGGCCATCCTGAAATGTTACTGCTGACATGCGCATGAAGTCAATTATACTGAGACAGACATGCGCAGCGTAAAACGCATTGGCTCCCCCATCAACCACGCTCGCGCGCACTGACCGACAATAATAAACAGCCCGTCTACGCATATTGCCCACGACCTGGTCCCCATGGTATATATCAGTTATTCACGAGGATCGCGTCAAAATCACACTAAGAAAGATCCATTGTAGCCTGACGTTCAATACGGAAAAGAATTCAGTTGTCCTGTCAGTTGCCAGTCTTCCAGGTCATGCCTAATAACGCGTCAAGAGAGGTTCAAAAATTCAAGATTTACTGTCTTTGGAGACAGTTCCATCAAAGTCAGCGGTAAAATTGGCAGTCATTCCTTGAAGGCTGGACAATCGGTTCCGGCCCCCTAAACAGGCCAAGAGAGAGATGCACCGGACCAACACGGGAGGCAGATCGGGGCATGCCAGGCCTTATTTGTATTTGCTCTCATAACTTATTCAGTACATGGGGACTTTGGTGGCAAGTGCTGCAAGTGCTTTTCAAACAGAATGGTGACTTCAAGAAGTCAAGATAGGCGAACGAACGTTTTCGATTAATTCATCATCAG